TGCTGAAGTTGTTGTTTAAAAGTGTTGTATTTGGGGTGGTTTGATAGAGTATTTTCAAGAGGAGTATTACTATTATTTATAGTTTTGGGCCAAAATGAGTCAGAGAATGCATATATTGAAATCTGGAGATAGTTAAGGAGTTGTATAATTTTAAATATAGTGGAATGCTTATTGAAACTATCAATAATAGGATGGGAGTGTTGAAGAATATTGGTAGTAGACTAAAGATTATTTTGTAGTTGTTGGAAACAAATGTGAGTAGTAGTACCAAGAGTTGAAGAGTTATTAATATGGTTTAGAAAATTTCTGATATGGTGTTAAAATTAAATATTCCAAATATTGTGAATATTGTAGAGGTTATAATTAAGAAGAGTACTATTTGGGGTAGAGCAAAAAAGATGTGCTTTGTGCTTAGCTATAGTTAGATATTTTCTAAGGATTTTTTTGCTTGTAAATAGAGGAATTATGATATTGTAAAGTTGATATTTGATAGTTGGAATAATAACAGTAGTAATAATATAGATTATTTGTTTGTCAGTTATATTTTTGGTACTAGTAATATTAACAAGTTAAATAGCTTCATCTTGGATGAGTTTAATTTGTGAAGTTTGTTTGTTATTAAGAGTAAACCAGCAACCTAAGAATTTAAAAGGTTGCTAAGGTAGGATAGAATAATGCATTTTTAGTATGTAAATTTAAAATAAAGTTAAATAGCAATATATATATCAAATTATGGAATCAAAAGTTGATTTAACTTATTGAATCTCATTAATATAATCTGAATATGATAAAAATTTTTGGGCATACTTACATGCATTTTTAGTGTGTAAATTCAAAATAAAGTTACATAGCAATATATATATCAAATTATGGAATCAAAAGTTGATTTAACTTATAGAATCTTATAAATATAACCCAAATATAATAAAAATTTTTTAGGAATGCTCTAGCTCTAGATCTGATCAGCACAATGCAATGTAATGCAGTGTTGTGATGCTCAATATCAAGTAAAGATAATATAAAATTTTTGACAAAATATTAAAAGAATCATAATTGACTAAATAAGAATGTTTAATATCTAAACTTTATTAGAAATAATCTATGACATGTGAACTAAGAATGTTTGTAGAGAGTATTTTTAGTATGTATAGTATATAATTTCAAATAAAGTTTACATAGCAATGCATATATGCATATATCTTATTGTGGAATCAAAAGTCATCAAATTTAAAAAATCTTATAAATACAACTTGAATATGATAAAAAAATTTTGGGAAGCATGCTCAAAGTAATAAAAATAATTTGCATATGCAATTTTCATAAAAATCCTTTCTGCTTTTGTCTAAAAAAAAATGTGATAGATTATAAGAAAGATTGCAACCAATAAATAACTTTATTGAAAGTGATCTGCTGCATGTTGACTAGTGTTGTTGATGCAGGTGGTATTACCACTGATGCAATGCTTTAAATTTTATATAATAACTTAATGGTATAGCAGTGGTGCACTACTTGCAACACCAACCCTAATGCCAATGAAGAAATTTAAGAGGGGTTAACTCGAAAAATCAAAATTTTAGCACAATCTAAATCTAAATTACATCTTGCAGTTATTATGATAATGAATACTATTCGATAACAGAATTTTTTATAATAACATGTGAAAAATTATTCAGTTCTAATACAAACCAACTCAACCATAACTATAGCTACTGAAATAGTGAGTAAGCTTCATAGCAATTTTTTACTGTAACTCCAATATCACAATAATTCTAATACAAAACAACTTTAACTATAAACTATAATAATTCTAATGCAGTGATTACCAAAATAAGAAGTTCTATAAAAAAATTTTTTACAGTATAAATCACAACAAATTAACTCGATCTAACACATATGATTACCCAAGATAGTGAGTAAGGTTTAACAGAATTTTTTTACAGTAATATAATAAGTATAATTTCAATAAAACTAACATTAACTGTATACGCATCAGTAACTCATGAAGAAATTATGATAATTCTAATAAAAAAAAATTAGCAGCCAAACATTATGTGTCACTAGAATAATGAGAAATTTTGTAGTAGAACTTTTTATAGTAATATATAGTGTATCTTAATTACATATACACTTATATATATAATTATTGATAAGTTCTAAAATAGATTTTTTTATAGTAACTAACTACTACAATATAATTTAAAAAAAAAAAAATACTTAATTGCTGATCCAAATAAGATCAGCACAAATTTATTATATAAATTTGGGGTAGATTTTATTAATTTTATATGATACAACAAAGAATACACAAAAGTGTCAAAAAGGCAAAATGCAAGAAAATCATCGATAACCGGTATTTATTTCGCGGGTAACTAGTTGAAGAGCCCCAGAAATGAATTATAGCAAAAAAAAACTGGGTTACTTTATGAATAAAAAACTTTACTTTGGACTCCCGTCAGATTTCGACCACGACAAATAGACAAATGCTCGATTGCAACATGACGAATATTCAAAAAAAAAAAAACAACTGACAAGAAAATAAAAAAAATAGAACCGAATACGGCATGCCAAAAAAAAAAAAAACAAAATTGAGACCAATATATAGAGGTATGTATATTTATTCCAAATTTGTAACTTTATTTTCCTCCAAAGAACGTTCTGCCATTGCTCATTTCCAAGCTCTTGAAAAGCCGCTTATCCAGTTTGAAATTGTCGACACCTCAGGCACATCGGCAACATTGATTTCACTTTCCCGTGAACGATTTAGTAATTCTTGGTGCATTTCTGTTGCCGACATTTTGTTTCTTGGGCTTGCTGTCCTAGTATGAAACATAGTTTTTAACAAAGTTTTTACCTGAGGCATAAGCTGTTTTACTAGTGCTCTGCTTTTCTTTTGCTACTCCTTGAGACACCAGCCGGCAACAAACTTCTGGTAACTAGTATATAGAAATATAAAGAATGCCAAAGAAAAAGAAGTGAAGTGAACAAAAGCGAAAATAAAAGAAACGAATAAAGAAATAAAAAAGAAGAAAGAGATGAAAGATAGAGCTAGGGAAAAGGATCAGAAGCAAATAAGAATTGAAAGTAAAAAAAAGTGACGAAGAATGATTAAAAATAAGGTAATAAAAAATGAAAACAAGAAAGATGAATGAAATTGAAACAAACGAAGGTAATGAAAAAGAATGAAAGCATGAAAAATGCGAGAAAAAAATGAAGAGGAAGGAATGAGAATGAAAGAAAAAGGGTCGAAAGTAAAGGAAAGAATTGAAAGAAAATGGCAAAGAGAAAGAATCGTAGAGAGAAAGAATAAAGGTAAGGGAAATGGTAAAAGGAATAGTAAAAGGAAAAATGAAGGTAAGGAAAAATAGAAAAAGGAGTCAAAAGAATGAATAGAAAAAGAAAACAAAGAAATAATGAAGTTGAAAAGAACGAAGTAAGAAAAAGTAATGGAAATGTGAAAAGCAAAGAAAAAGAATGAAAAGGAGAATGAAAGAAAAGAAGAAGTGAGCGAAAAGGAAAAAACGAAAAGGAAAGAACAAAGAGAACAACGAAAGAAAAGAACAACGGAAGAAAAGAACAAGAAAATAAAAGGGTGAAGGTAATAAATATGAAAGAAAATGATAGAAATAAATAAAAATAAAAAAATGTAAGGTATAAGCGAAAATATAAAAATAAATAAAATTGAGAAAAGCAAATAGTGAACGAAATTAAATGGGATTGTAAAGAGTAAATGAAAGTGAAATATAAATAAAACCATAATAAATAAGCCGAAGTTTATAAAGAAATAAAAATATATGAAAGTGTCAGAATTGAACGAAAGTATGTGTGCAAAAAATATGAAAGTATAGGTGGGTAAAAAATAAATATGTATGAACCGAGTAAAAATGTGTAGTGTGAAACAATGCATGAAACATAAAACATGAACGAATACAAAAAATAGAAAAAGATAGAAATACGAAATTGAAGCAGCGAATATTAGATAAAGCTTGATAAATTCACAAAATAAAAAATGAAAAAATGAAACTGTAACCCTTCAAACTCAGTGTAAGCTTCTATTTCAGCTGCATTGATTAAGTTGACCGTTTCCTGGATCATGAACATAACTATTTTTAGTCATCTGTTTATCGTATACTAATGAATATTGGCAAATTACACACGAGATCATCATTCTTGTCTTCTAAACTGTCATTCGATGAAACTGATAAAATATATAAAATATTAGTATTTGACAAAATATCCCGATATCATAAGTTATCCGGCAGCTTACTATGACAGTGCTGCCAAAATAACTCGAGTTATTTGGCAGTGATACGTCATCTGCCAAATAACTTCGTTATTTGGCAGTTTATGTAATCACTACCAAAACTCGAGTCATTTAGAAGCACAATCGTCGTAAACCACCGGATAAAACCGTTATTGTATGCTACGCTAGCCAATAACTCCTAATAAATTATTTTACAAATAATTCTCGTTATTGGCTGCTTCACATCCAATAACTATATACTGTATTATCAATCACAACATATCATCCTAGACAGAATTATGAAGCTTCAGTACTATTTAGCACTGCTTACAGTATTCATAAATTGCTTCACAAATGAGTGCTGCCAAGGGAAATTCGCAGTTCGGACTTTCAATTGTATTTTGTACTGGACACAATCGCTAATAAATTAGAATAGATTGTGTCTGGTACAAAATACAATTGAAAGTCCATACTGTGAATTTCTCTTAGCAGCATTCAAATGTAAATCAACCGTAAATAGTGCAAAACAACCATGTCCCATGGTACACTAGTTAAAATTAAAGATTCAATATAGTGAATTTTTTAATTTCAACTAGTGAAACCTAGATTATAAATCTTTGCAACCTTGAATTTCTGGCACTGGCATGGTCCAAGATTTGCTTGGTTGACTGTGTGTAGTAATAGTAGGTTCTGGCTTTTTTATAACATGTTTTTTTATAATTTTTTGAATATTTGCGGGTGTGAATTCTTTCCATGGACCAATTCTGGGTAAAGGTCTTGCATAAATGCATCCTGCTTCAGTCTCATTATTAAACCAAGACCACTCGTGCCAGTTCCGGATTCCCGCTATTGTGCCCAGTGCTGTATCATTATTATCTGTATAATTAAAAATACATTTATTACTATATAGTAACAAGTTGTATAGCTTGACGTAATAAAGACGCATTCAGGTGAAAAAAAAAACTTATTGTCTATTTATATGTTATAAATATAGAGTTATATACTTACGCTGATTTCGATTTGGCTCTAAATGAGCAACATGTGTCCCACCTAGATCTTTTATCGCTTCTTCAATATCTTCACCAGAGTTTATATCATGACCAAATTTGACATACCTCTTAATAGCATGAGTTATCTGTGAAAAAATTGTTGTGAAAATTACAATAATAATTTTAGGTTCATATTATTCCTTAAACAAATAAATATTTCAACAATTACAACTCGTTCTCGTTATGATGAAGATTCGATATAGTGAAGATTTTTGAATTACGAATTATTAAACTTCAACTCGATATATTGAAGTATATATAGTAATTCTCTCGTTATTAAGCTCAGCCAGATTACCATACTATAACGAGAATAAGTTATATCTCACTGAAATGGCAACTAATATTCAAATTCACTGAAGAAAAAAATATCAAATTTCACGTTGATAAAAAATAATAATTGAAGAATAATATGGACCCAATATATTCAATGCTTTTTTTTTCTTATTATAATTTTTTTTTTTACAAACTTGTGCATGATGAGAATCTATCAAGGTTTTAGCTTCGCCCGCTTCTAAGAATAGCCATTTTTTCACAGAAACATTATACCATTCTTTCCACTTTCCTAATATTATCATCAGCTCGGTATTGTGATAATGAGGGCCATTATCCAAAACAATAATAATCCATTTGGGCATATGATCTAGGCTTTCGAGTACAGCATGAAGTGAGGACGCGGTAAACCAAGCGTCTTGCTTGGTATCACCGCTCCAGTGATCAAATGCTTGAATATCAAGCTTACTAGTCTTAGAATTTTTGGTGTATATAAGGACAGAATGGAGGGTCCAGCCGCGCTTACCAAAGAACTCAGGTTTTGTTTCTCGTGCACTTTGTGGGAGGATTCTCATTTTATAATCCACAATAAACAAAGCCCCATCTATATCAAGTCGAGCAAGTTCGACATTCAATTGTGCATTAAGGTATGTCTTTCGTGCATGATGAGCCATAAAATAAATTAGTTGATTTTGATACTCAATTAAAGATTCATGAAACTCATCATCCATATTCACCTTTAGGTTATCAAAAAAGGTAAATAAGTTGCTACAATTTTTGCAAATTTCGGGATGATCTAAATGGCAATTATCAAATGCGTGCTGGAGGCAATGACTAATACATGGTGAGTGTAAAGCAACGCTCATTGGTGATACTTTTAAGTTGGTGGCAAAATCTTTACGTAGATAACGTCGTAAATTTTGAGCTATTCCGTGCATATTTTCTTTTTTTTTTTTTTTTTTTTTTTTTTAGGCGATGCCTTTTCTACCATGAAAATTTACTGGAACAGTAAATTTACATGGTGGAAATAGCCGTCTTCTTTTCTTTTTTATCAAAAGAAGTTTAGTTTATTTGCTATTGTTAAAATTAAATACAGTATCCAAAAGTAAAAATTGAAAAAAAACCATACCTTAAGTTCATTATCTTTAATTCTAGCATCAATCAATGTTTCGAGTTCTTCAAAAACCTCATACCCTAGCTCATTACATGTAGTGCAAAGACCGCCTAGATTTTCTTTATACACAAACCTGCCATCTTCCAATCAAGTCATAAAGGTTGTGCGTTGCATACCATTGAGATATTCCTCGTGAAATTTATTCTATAAAGCTTTCTTATGATCTTGAAGATATAATATAGGCAAACCCGTCGATTCATCTGTTTTATATGATAACATATTGACATTTTTTTTTTTTTTTTTTTTTAATGTTAAAGGTGACCACTTAGGCCATTGGCATGAGCTTTATTTCGGATAGTAACGATATTACATCAGATTCACGAGGATACAACTAGCCACACGTACACCTTTTGGGTATCTAATTTAAGTAGTCCGCC